GGAGAAGTGACACATGTAACTGAACGATGGTCTGGAGGCCAAGTCTGACAGCTTTTATCAGAGTGGGAAAAGATTAATGGTCGAGGGTACAGACGGGGGGGGAATCAAGCACCAGAATTAGGCCTATAACGCGTAACGCAAGAGTCCATGTTTCCTCTTTCATATCCCCCTTTTGCTCTTATGTTGAATTCGATTCGATTTTATTTAAACCTGATAAGGATGGAAGGTTATACTGAGGTGCGATTTCGCCACTCTAATTGCGCCACTCGGAAACAAACGACACTGCTTTAAGAGTGTGTCCTACCCACTACATCGACAGGCTTGAGAAGAACGTCGGTCTCAAAGTCTTCCTAGACGCAAAAGACACTATCCTTGACAAATGCAACACAAATCACACCCAGAGACGGTCGGAAAACAGGTTCCCGGGTGTGCTTGTACAAGATCCGCTGCCTTTTGCTTTCAGTTGGGCATGTTTCCAGCGCAGGAGGACACGGGGCCGCAAGAGGCGAGCCCGACTCGTTATCAGAGCGCTGCGTTGGGGCTCGGGAAAGCTACAGGAATCAACGATAAACAACAGAGACATCTAAAGCGGGGGGGGGGGGGGTTGGGGAATTATGTCGAAAGAGTTTAAACGCTAGCCCTCGGGGGTTACCAGACGGTAATTTCACGTCGTCAAAGACCCCCACTACCCCCTTCTGTCGGTAAATCTGCAAATCAATACGGTGCGCTGGCGTGCGCACGAGGTTTATGCGAGGGTTTAATAACGCGGTAAGAAGGGCGTCGGCAGACGAATGGTTAATCTCTCTTCCGACACCACCCGGGTCCTTTCCTCAAGCCACCCCTTTTCATATTGGGTTTTTTTTTTGTGCCTGTGTGTTTAATCTAAAAAGGGAAAGAGGAGAAAAAAAAAAACGCAGGGCTGCTGTAAACCGTCCATCAGCAGCAGAGTCCAACCTGCCAGTGATAATGTGCGATCAACACGAAATCACCACCGGCAGGCACGATCCATCATCCCCGCAATGCTCGCGCACAGACCGGAAGGGGGGAGCGCGTGTGTGTGTGTGTCTGTGTGTGTGTGCGTGCGTGCAGAGGAGGTTCGCTGAAGGGGAGGAGTTTTTTTTTAAAGAACGTTTTGTGAGCGCTGGGAAACAGAAGGCCGTTTGCCGCCTGATAGCCTGTGCTGTGTCGCCCGCATTATTCCTAATTGGTTATCCTAATTGATGGGAGCGTACCCTCTACCCCCTCCCCCCCCCAATATTTTTTTTATGAGTCAGTTCGGAGAGGGGTGGGTCATAAAGCAGGATAAAACAGGAATTATGTCTTCCTACGACTTTAATCCGTGGAAAACAAAAACGTTCTGCTTTTCCTTCCAAACTCACAGGCCGGCGTGCAGTATCGAGTGGTCTTCAAATGCTCGTATTTAACCCCCGCGCTGTCTCTGCTCTGCAACGGTTTTTTCAGTCTGAGACGAAAAATGTCGGTTTAACAGGAAGAGAACAGATCCTCGCGCATTTTTTTTTTTTAAAAAAACGAAAAACTTGAACGACTGGAAACCAGAACTGGCTGAGCGAAGATGATCTAGTGGTTATGCAAAACAGGCTTCATTCACAAGCAGGTGTTATCTTAGAGGAAACGCCAAGCGTAGAGGGGGACAGCGCGGTGGAAACCGCAGAGACACCTGTGGTAGGTCAGGCGCTTCTGAAAGAAACTGGCGCCCTGGCGAGGTGTTTCAGAGCTCAGAGCACGGTACCTTCACTTCCTCAAAACAGACCTGCTTTGTACGCCTCAGTTTGACAGACGACAAAGCGGCCCGTCTTTGTCACGAACGAACCACTACTGCTAACATACACGGCACGACGGCCTGTACGGAAGAGCACGCTGTAAAAAAAAAAAGGCGACCCAGCCACCGTGGTTTCTGTGTTTATTTAGGCTGCTTCAGCGCACAGGCGTGGTAAGAAAAACACTGGCGCTAACGAGTCACAACGACGCTTGATTTTCTGCCAAAACCGTGTAACGCTTTCATTTTCAGGATCGCGCGACGTTTATTTAAAACAAAGACTGATACCAGTTACATTTCTGGGTGATTTAGATTGCCAAGCCCGTCACCTTGGCTTGAACCGCAGCAGACTTTTCTTTTTTTTTTTGGTGTGTGTGTGTGCGCGATCATGGAAAGGCGCATGCTAATCCCTTTATGTTTAAGTGTAAATCGTTTTGCAACGTGACCAAGTCTCCGACAGCATAAGAAAACAGTCAGTGCACGCGCGTAAACCGACGTCAGGGGATTTATGTCGATTAAAGTTACAGCTCATGGAAAAGGCGTTTTACAGTCGAGGCAGTACCGCCGATTTGTCGATGATGAGTGTAAGGACCCGTCACAAACTGCATAAACTGCAAGAACATTTGCCTTGCATTTCTTTTTGTTTTGTTTTGTAAGGAAGTGTAACGCAAATTATTTTGCGGTAGAATTCACGTCTAGACTCAGACACAAACTGTAGGAAACGAAGTAGTTAAGATACCTGAAGGAAAGCAAGCATCTACTCTGAACGCTCACCCCTGTCTTTCTATATATAAGGAGTATACAATATTTAGCCGTTCTATACGTTAGCCAGCGCTATAGATGCGTGTGTATATTTTTAGCCCCTCTTCGACCGCAGTTCTAAAACAGGCGATTACGCTTCAGCTGGCGAATGTCTTACCTAAACGCTACAGTGCCGAGAAGTGGCGCGGACAGCGCAGAAACACCTCAATTACAGACCTGCCAGCACAAGTAAAAAAGCTGGAAGTGTACGTTTATAAGCCTCCCTCGGTGCGGCTGAAGGTGGAACAGGACTGGGAGACGACAGCAGGAGGGTTTTAATTCTGGGCAGCAGAAGGAGGAGAGTGTAATAACTGGGTTATGCCGCTATCACTAATCAGGAGATAAAACCATAACCTCCACATACATAAGCTTCAATTAAACGATCTTATTACCATATGAAACTGTAGATCCGGTGGTTTCATTACTCACTTGGTTTATAAAACTAACCACTTCCTTCCTCCTCAGTCCGCAGCCCTGTCTGGTTAATTTCGTGTCCACTGGCCAAGCCAGAGGCTTACCAGAGCATGATTCTCGAGTTTTCTTTAACTTGGGGTCACGCTCTCTCAGCCTTCGTGATCAACCGCTGCGTTTGCGCCACAGAGCTCCGCGAATACAGGAGGGCACACGCACCCCCCTCTCCAGACCTATTGGACTAAGCACGTAGTCGCTCATTAAATACTAGACAGTGAAAGTCTACGGGACTGTTTTGGGCCATCTGTGGGGCAGGCCAGTGTGATGTCGGACTTTTTTTTTTATTTCTGCCCTGCGTATCGTCGTTGAAAAGAGATCCGCAGCTCGGAACGGGAGCGCTTAGGCACAGACGATAACTGCGGACTAGGCTCCTCGCTGTAAGCCAGCGGTCTCTGTGTTTGATTGGAGTAATGGTGGTTGAAAGGGGTTCTGAACAGTAGCTCGTGGGCACTAACCAGCGGGCTCTGCTATCTGACGTCGACGGGACTCGGGGCAGGTCCGCCTTTGAGAACCAGATGGTACTGGAGCGCGGGGAGAGACTCCGGCCGCGGCTGTGCTTTCGGAGTCTGCCCCGCCCAAGCAGAGCCGCGGGTGCCCCACCAGGGACACAGTAAGGACAACAGGCCTCCGGCTTCGACTTTACGGCTTAGACGACAATAAAGCCTCTCTTCCCTAACCGGGGAAAACAGTGAAACCGGGAGCTAAAATGATCTATATTGCAGTCGTCCCGAGTCCGCTGTACGCTTTAATAAGAGGTCTTTGTGAAACTTTCCTTTGAAGCTACACCAGTGCCCCCTTTTGACCACTTGCTGTATTGCTGCGTAGACGACGTCGAAATGCACGAACCGCGGTACAGTTTAGCACTGTACTCTTAAGTTAACGAATTTGAAAATGCCACCCGTTTTCGTAGCTATGTCGTGACCAATTTATACATTTACGTCGTTAAAGGTAGGCTTACGAAACAAAACTGACCAAGTACAGTTGGTCATCTTCAAAATAAACGCCCTGCACAAACTGTCCATTACGAACAGGAAAGACTACAACGCCTTCTTGTTGAGTCGTTTTGAAATGCACTTTTTACCTTCGCTGAAACAACATTTATCAACATTAGCATGTTAAAGCAAGCACTGAAATACGAAACTACCCGGTTTTGGAACACCGAGTAGGCTGTGATCAAATGTGCAACACGTGAAGTGATCTCACCGACGGGAGGTCGTTCGACGGCGGGGAGAGATTGTTTTCCAATCCCATTTGGCTTTAAATTCACACTCGCGCTCCTCTGTAATCTGTTCCAAACTGCGACACTGTTCCGTGAAATTTGTCTTTACGCAACAGAGGGTGTCAGTTCTCCGAAGTGCACGATGTATCCGGGGGGAAACGGAACGTCAGAGTTAGTTTTTCCATAGTTGTTCCCTAGAGAAAATACATCGAAAACCCAGCAGAAAATGGTTCAACAAGAACACATCTGCTCTTATACCTACCGTTCTTTAAGAAATATTTTGATTTGCGCTGTGGTTCGTAGGGAATTTTCCTAACCATGCTTTTATGAGAAAGCAGCAGATAGCTGGTAAATTCACTGCAACACCAGTCCTGTCCTTGGAAGCAGGGTGCGTCTTAAATCCACTTTCAGCACGCCGGGCACACGCCTGTACAAACAGGGACAGTGTCTAAACAATTAGGCTAGGCAGCGGTGTGTTTCAGAAGCAGGAGGGTGGTACACCGCGGAGAACCTGGGACTGAGACGAACAGGTTTTTGCAGACGTCTGTTCTTTATTGTGCAGGTCTTTAGAACTGACCGAGAATCGCAAAACCCCGCCAATGCACCTACTGTAAGTGCTGTAACGCGGTAACCCCAAAATATAAGCGCCACAGCGTCGTCAACACCAGTGGACAGTGTGCGAGACATAACAGAAGGGACCGGAGTCCCGAGAGAAAACGCACTCGAGCATCGTGAGAACATTAGTAAGCCCACGCAGAAGGGTCCCCAAACTGAAACTGAACTCTCTGAATTCGTTTTGTGGGTCTTTGTTCCAATTGCGAATCCTGAATTGGTCCATTGGGTTAACCATCCTTGTAACCTTGTCCCAGACTCAGAAGAGTTCTTCAAGTCCCCCGGTAATCGCACCTGCTCAAGGTTAAAGAGATTCAACTCTTTTAATGAGTCTGTCTGCGCAAAATCACCAACCTCCGACTGTTCATAATTACCTGCAGCGGTGAAGTGTGTTTTTACGGTGCCCGCTGTTTGTTTCCGCTACCAAATGGGCGTTGGACCCGTTAGGACGAGCGAGCTTTATTTACCGCCATTACCGGAGTGCGGGGCGAGTCAAAAACGGCTTTCGCGGAGCAAACGGGAAAGAAAAGACGGCAGACCCCGAGGGAGCCGGAGCCTGACAGCTCCCGCACGTGGCGTGAAGGCCGAAACAAGTTGGGAAAGTGGAAACGCCGGGCGAGGTTTGATTGACGCGGCGCCTCTTCAGAGCTGTTGGAATCGGTTCTCCGCTCCCCCGAGGGGCGTCCCCTGTTAACAGGGGGCTTTTCACGGCGTTTCCCTGCGGTCTGCTGCTGCTAATCTTCGAGAATTAAACACATGCCACTGCCAATTTCTCCCCACATCCAAAATGTTCACCAAAGAGGAAAATGTAAAGGCTTTTTTTTTTTTTAAGTGAAAGGATTCGTTCTGTTTTCGGTTAGCTTTGGAAACCCTCCTTTAAGCGGCCCCAAGTAGGAGTTCCTCAAGCGTCCTTTCCCGATTTTTTTTGTAAATCGTGATAATCGTGGGGTAAGTAGAGCATAACGGATAGTATAATTATTTTTCTGTTTGATGTTTTCTAAACCCACAGTTGAAGCGGAAACTATCTGCTACACCGTGCCCAAGCACAGTACCCTGCTAGATTCTGAGCGTATTTTAACATTTTAAACCGGTGTCTCTTTCTGAGAAAGAATCCAAATAATCGACTCAAAAGGTGTTGATTTTGTCTGCTGAATACGATTCGCAACTGATAATTAAATGTTTGATATTGTTTATGAAACCTTTGATAAATTAGGTGTACAGGTTTTTTTTTTTTCAGGTTATGATGTCCCGAAAAAAAAAACAACTCCTGGATTATTGTGCAAATGATCTGCAAATAGTTTGGATGTTTAGAGAACAAATAAACAGGAACTCATTGAGCTGTTCACCGTATTAAAAGACCTTAAGGCTGACTTCTTTTTTTCTTCCTCTTGATGTTACGCCCCCTAAACAAATTATCTCAGAAGCAAGACGATTCTGGATCCTAACCGAAACTAGATCACGAGGGAAGATGGTATCCCCTGCCCGGCAGCCTGGGGCGACTTCAATTTCACGTCGTGTGCGACCCCTCCATTGGCTCTCCCGGTCTGTGTGCGGCGAGAGGAAGAAAACCGCCCCCCCCCCCGGGGCTCGAGCTGGGGGTCGACAGATCTTCCGCCCCGACGCCGCGCAGCTCGCGCTGGAACTGGGCTCGCGTGAGGGGAGGAAGAGGAGGGGGGGGACGGGGCAGAGGTCTCAGTTTAAGAAGCCAGTAAGTGCGACGTTGCGTCCCAAGCCAATCTATTTCCCACAGCTCAGTGGGTGACAGACAGCGTGAATCGAAAGCTGTAAGACGCGGGAGGGTCCTGCCAGACCGCTTTCTAGAGAGAACCACACACACACACATCGAAAGCCTTTCATTACGGTCGCATCCTGCGCAGCCACTGAAGAAGCTGACAAAAGAAATACCCAGCTTGTAATAACGCTCTCGTTTTAGTATGCTCATTTATGGCGAGGCAATAACATTATCGAGGATATATCTATATATATATTATAAAGGGCGTTCGTAGTGAGACGACCAAGCGAGGGCCAGTCAGAGGGCACTCCTCGGAAATCCGGACTGTGTGGCGGCGGCATTCTGGATGGGCTTGGCGGCCTCCCGGGCGTTGAGCGGCTCTGCGGAGGTCTTGGACAGTCCGGAAGCGAAGGCTGTGTTTCGGAGTTTGCAATGAGAAAGGGGCTGCGAATCGCCTTACAGCGCTGCGGCAGTGAATTCATGTTCTGTCTTCTACACGTGTGTGTGTGTGGGGGGGGGTGCGATCGAGGCATTCCTATTCAAAAAGGACTCCCCGGCTTAGACATCCACACGGAGGTCTAGTCCTATTGTTAAAGACTCCGTAATTCATTATGTATAGGCGGAGGTACAGATAACTCTAGCTGTAAGTGTTCCCAGGGCAGATCCACCCCTTAGCCAGCCGATGTAACGTGCCACACGTGGGGAGATCAGTTTTGATTGCATCCCTTGATTTTTTTTCAGCACACAAGAACCCCAGGGGTTCCCGGATCCCCGGTTGAAAATCCCTGTTCCTCGGGCACCGCACTGCCTCTAGAGGGCGCAGTACCGACAGCAGGCTGGCGTCTGGCATTGTCACGCTGCAAGCCGTGCAGCGGGTAACCCCCCCCCTCTGCGCGTCGCTGCCGTGCCTCAGACGCTCTGATGTGGTGTGTTGGGCGGGCTGCTGGGACCGAGGTTGTGTTTAAACAGGTGTGTGCTTCGGGCCATATTCCCACCAGGGCGAACGTCTGTTACCACGCTTTCGGTTCGAGCTGTTTCTGAAGCTGAAGAACAGACCGCCTTCGTGGGTTTTATACGTCGGCGTCAGCACTTGCTGCTACGGACGTCAACATTCTCTCTGGAATAAAAGCGACCCTCTTCATCTTTTTTTTTTAATTTTAAATTGAATCATCACTTAAAATAGCGAAATCCCAGAGTCTGAATCTCGACCGCCTGGCGGGGAAGCCAAGTTACAGATTCCCCAAACCCGTCGTGTAAAGACGTATTTTCTCCACTGGAAATTAATTCCCTTTGGTTTCCAGTTGGGACCCTGACAACCACTGAGTGTGAAACAGTACTTTTGGTAAATCTCGCCTATACTCTTTAGGATTGTATATGCTTAGATAAAAATCCCCTTTCAATATCCTGTGTACTGCACTGAAAAAAATGAATAGGAGATTGTCCATGACAACCCCCTATACTAAGGATCATTCTGCTGCTCTTGTTTGAACTCTGAAGCCACAGTTTGCTGTTTGTGGTACTACTGTACTGAAAATGTGAGTATTAATTGTGTGTTAAGGTAAACTCTACAGCTCTCATGGGGACCTAGCACTCTGTTTGCGTGTGTAGTGCTTCGCCACAGTCTTGACGAGGATGCAGAAGAATCTACATGAACACCCAGATCCCTGTAGTTTGAAGTAGCTTTTCGCAGCTCAGAAATACCCATGTGATACACAGTGTATGTTTCTGCCAAACTGATGATTCTGTCTGTCTTCATATACTATTTTTTATACCATCTGACTCACAAGTTTGTAAAATATCCCAGAATCTAAATCACTCTAAGTCAGTAAGAATGTCAGCAGATGGACACCTGCAGAACACCCCTGTCTAGATCTAAGATGGTAAATGATTTAGACAGGAGCTGATACAGTTCTGTGTTTTCTGAGTAATACGTCAAATGTGTTAATTAGCGGTATGAATTTCCAAGCCCTTTATGCCCCACTTGGCATCCATGTGGGTCTTCTGGCTTTATGGTGAGATCTGGAAGAGATTATATACATTTAAGTTTGGACCACATGGAAAAAATCAAATTAACAGCACTGTGTCTCTTCCTTGCCTCCACGCTTGTCTACTATTATTCTAGAATTACGTCAAAGGCTCAGAAAACGGCCTCCTCATTCTTACTTTTCATGGAAAAAATGGTCCTCTTTAAAATCACATCATTTGAATCCAACATAAATGAAAAGTTGGGCTGCTAGGCTTTGTTCAACCTGGTAATTCTTAATTATCTCTTATTCATCTCGTATGACACTCTTCTTTATGCGTATGCTGCACTTCATCAATTGTTTTTTACATCCATTACATTTAGTGAGATAATTAAAATCCATTAATTTGTGTCTGTCTCTAAAGAATCTCGAAAGGCTCTGTGTGATTCAAGTACCTTTACAAGCTGATGGTTTTGAAACCAGTGGGTTATAAGCATAGTTTAACGAGCACCCCTGAGCTGGAAAAGTAAAATGCATGTGCTTCTTTTAACCCCCAAAATGAACTAACAAACCACTTCTTTATTAAACATATTGCATTTTGTATGGTATTAAAAATTAATCATTCATTTTTTGCAGCTTTTACAGGCTTATAGATGGAGTTGCACGCTGTGGTTATGGGGTGAACTTATTTGAGGTTTAGTTGATTGGACTTGCTGTGTTTTTGCTCTTGGCCCTGAGTGCCTTTCTTTGCAGGGCAGGCAGCCGGGGAATAGAGCCAAACAAAACCCTCATGTCCCGTGAACTGGCTGGTTCTGGTGTCGACAAGGCCTTATCGCAGGTCATTGAGCAATTTATCAGCCAAGCACAGAATGGAAGCCTGAAACAACCACGTTCGGTTTAGAACTCTTTCCACTTATCACACTTATCATCATTATGTGTTTTTTTGTTTAAGCCTTTCCCACCCTGACAAGCAGCTCAGGCTCATATACAGTACAAAGGGCAACACTTTCTCTACTGGAGCACAAGACCATTTTTCAAATAACAGCTGTTTGAATTCATATGTAATCCGCACACAAGTCTATATGTGACAGCTATGAATGAAACCTAGTGGCCTTTCTACAAAGGATTAGCACTGTGCAAATACCTTTCTAAAAATAATGAATGTAGGAAGAGGAGAAACTCAGGAGGCCCAGTTTTAGTACAAAAGTACTGCCTTTGAATTTATTGCTCATTAAGAATAAAAGGCATTATGTTTGTGCCAATCCCAGTATAAAATACATCATCTTATCTTGGAATTAATGTTACTTTTCACAACCAAGCTGGAGTGTTTAAATAAATATTTAACGAGACAATACGTATGTTTAGGAGCGATCCGGATGAAAACCAGACACGACTTTACATTGAAGTCTCATGGCTGAAGGTGACTCTTTGGAGTTCACTGGGGGAGGAAAAAAGGACAGAAATAATTCTTGGATCATCAAGTCAAACAGGCAAGAATGGCCAAATGGCTTCCTCTTTTTTGCAACTTTTCTTATGTTCTCTTACATCTGACTTTTGCATAAAACACACAAAGACATCATAGTTGTTTTAGATGTATATTTGTGCAGCTTGCCAAGGAAAGAGAAAAAAAGACGCCTGCTCAGTTCCCATGAAGAATACAGGCCCATAATGATCTAGTGTTATATGAGCTATCACGGCGCTTCACAGTTTTGCATAAAGAAAGATGAATTCTGTGGGAAGTTGTGATGTATTGGAGTACTCTGCTGCTGCACATCCTTCTTTCCATTACAGAGTCATTAGGGTACAGAAGGAATACTGTCAAATCAACCCATGTATTTCGGAAAAAGACCCACATCATTTGATTAATGGGTCTTTCCAGTTCCCTTATCTAATACCCAAGGAGACTCTGTACTGGAAGGGAAAAAGAGCTAGGAAATGAAAGGAAACTAACTTTTGTGTTTTGAAGGATGAATAGATCAAGAATAAAGAGAAGAGCCACGGTTGTTCTATAAATAAAAGTGCCGAGGACATTTTAAGTTTTTTGTTTCTTTTTGCAAACTTCATGGATGAAATATGTTTTTTCTCAGCTGATTAATTTTGATAATTTTTTCTACACTGAAAAACTAAGACAAAGTTACATTTTCAGCTGAAATGTGGTAATCCTTTCTCGTCACCTCGCAGAAAGGACATGCATGTCGTCCTGTATAAGTAAGTAAGAAAACCTGGTACATCTGCAATTGGGATGCAAGCTGTTTATGCATTTAAAGTACTGAATTGAAATGCACTGGAATATTTGATATAAATGCAGCATTTCAGTGGTGGATGAAAAGCACTTTGGAATAAGAAGTCCTACATAAGTGCAATTAATCATTAACTATTATTAGGCAAACAAATCTAGGTCACTTTGTTCCGATTGAATTTCATTAAGCATTCAGTCATTAGAGCACCCCTCTACTTCTTTCAGTTTTTGAGGAGTCTATTCAATGAGACTGTCTGCTACCTACTCTGCAGCAGGATTCCATTTCATTATTACTTAAAAAGTAAAAGGGACCCTTCTGAGTATCATGTTTATAGTCCAATCTCTCTCCTCAAAATTAACCTGAAAATTCTGCTAAAATTCCCAGCTCCACTGCAGTCATTCAGGATCAGAGCCGACTTATTCAAAGATGGTGTTCCTTCTCCCCCACTCATATACAAAATGGATTCAGTCATCCTCAATCTCAGCTGATCCTGAGATGCTCCTTCCCTGCAAAATCCTTCATGTATTAGAGAGGGATTATTTATAAATTGATCTCTTCACATTTGGAATACCTCCCCCTAATTGTCTATATCTACAAACTCAGTATGATCCGATTATTTTGTGCTGGCCTTGTGGCACATCTCAGGGCTCCCTGTGTCTCCACTTCAGTTCGCTTTGGTAACTGAACCCACCTGTGTTACTGTGGACGTCTTCTGGGTTGCAGAAGGTGGGATTCAGGGTGGTCAGAGCCTTCCTTACATGCAGATGATCTGTTACTGGACAGTACATTTGGCCAGCAGCCATATCACCCTGCAACTCACAACTGGCAAACCCATGTAGCTCAGCAGGTGTGAGCTTGGCGTGTATCTGGATGGGTGACCTCCTGGGAAAACCTGAGGTTGCTGTTGGAAGAGGTGTTAGTGGGACCAGTAGGGGGGGTCCACCCTGTTATTAAGCATATGGAACGGTAGGTGACACTCTCCCATCTAATCCAGCATTTCCAGACCAATGCCTCTATAAAGAAACCATGTTCACTGTAGGAACCATGCTATAGGAACTGCGGTGCTTCTGATGAGATGTTATTACAAGGTCCTGACTGCTTGGTCATGGAAGACCCCCTGGTGATGTTTGTGAAAGGAGAGGTGTTAACCCCAGCATCCTGGATAAATTCCACATTGGACTCGCTCAATCTGAATTTCCCACCTAATTCAATTGGCAGGGTAGCTTCTCACTTTTCCTCCTGATCTGCTGTGTAATGAGGTTGCTGGTGCATAAAGGGCTTCATATGTCATCCAGATGGGAGCTGCACTTTTACAGTGGATAAAATGGCTCTCCTCCTACATGTGAGGCTCTTTGGGATGAAAAGCAATATACAAATGTAAGCAATGGTAATTATTCAGTCTATTCAGTTATTAAAGTCATTAGTTCTCTCCTCTGACTTTTTTTTTTAGAAATATGGAACAACCAGTTAATGAAACCAAAATGAACTCGCAAAGAGGTGATCTGCTGTCCCCTTTCTAAAATGTCAGGATGCAGTACTTTAAAATGAATATTTTAAAGTTTCAAGTGTCAATTTTGTTTTCTAGATTAATCATTTCTTTTGCCTGGCAGAACAAACCACCCAGTACCAAAAACCATTTATTTAAAAGAGAAAGGCAGATGGTGGTTTAGCTCTGCTGAATTTGGGGTATTGTTGTTGGACTGGAGGCGGCACAGTGGTGCAGGGGTTTGCGTTGCTGCCTGCGTAGCACAGGGGCCCTGGGTTCAATTCTGGACCTGGGGAGCCATCTGCGTGTTGCTGTGCAGGCAATCTGAGTTTGTAGGCTCTCTTTGTGTCCATGGGGGTTTCCTCCCACTGTCCAAAGACATGCTGGTAGGTTTATTGGCTTCTGGGAAAATTGGCCCTGGTGTAAGTGTGTGTGTTTGGGTCTGTGTGTGTGTGTGCCCTGCGATGGACTGGCATCTCGCCCAGGGTGTAGTCTGCCTTGTGCCCAATGCTTCCTGGAACAAACTCCGTGCTACTGTGGCCTGGAATTGGATAAGTGGCTATTGAAAGTGATGTGATTAACGATCTGCTACAGGGCAACGCCGAGGTGGGGAGAGAGTAAACAGGATATTGCTCTTCCTCAATAAACAGGAAAAAAAAAATCAACATTTTTGCCTCTGCATCACATTTCGCCGGTGTTAAACGCGTTAAACTGTGGAGTCAAGCGTTAGACTTGGCAGGCCTGCTTCAGCTGAACCTGCACACAGACGCCACTGCGCGACGGCACTGATCTGACACGCAGTCATGGTTTAATCTGGCGTCGCTGACAGCAGCCCTGTCAGCCGCAGCCCTCAGAGGCTCCGCGCCCGCGCCGCGCGGGAGAGAGGCAGATGAAAGGAGCACGCGGGCCCGTCTTCCTTTCTGTTCTTTCAGTGGGTTTTGTCTGATGCTGGCTTCCTTGCGGGAGAGAGATTGAAGATTCATGAAGGAGGGGAATTCTTCTGCTCTCTTTTCATTAATCCTATTGTTTGAAACCCCGTGTGACCCTTAAAATAAAAGCGTCTGGTGGGCTCTAGCTCTGTACCCCCCGTGTGCCTCTTGCTTGTGGGCTCAGTGTTCCTCAGCGCTGTTCTTTTACATCAGGAGTCCCCAGTCCTGGTCCTGTGTGTCTGCAGGTTTTCTAGGGCTCTTGAAAGCAGCAGCACCTGAAGAGCTGGGAGAAGCTGTTAAACTCGTCCCATTAAGCCAATAATGAGCAGATTAAGGTTGTTAAGAGCCCAGCTGGTCTGAAAAACCTGTAGACTAACAGGCCCTCCAGGATTCGGAGCGAGGATCGCCGTTCCACGTTATCATTATTTTCTTTGTTAATTTCTCCTGATGAAACAAGAGTGATTTTTTTTTTCTCCCCAGACTGGCTATAGGACAGCGACCTCCGAAATGCACACAAAGATGCTTTCCCACCTTTGCAATAAAAAAAATGTTTCTGCATGGATGGGTGGTGGTGGGGGGGGGTGAGACCTCACCTGCCTACCCCCCCTCTTCCAAAAACGCAGTCCTGCCGGGCCTACACGCGAAGAGAAAGCACTTTTCTATGTTTTTACAGTGCGTCCTCCCTCCATTCAGCCTTCACAACTGGGTCTCAACCCCGACACCACTTTAAAACAGAAACGGCCACTCTTATTGGACAGGTCCCTACAGATACACGATTTCCTCCTTCAGTGTTTGGTTCTCCTTCTTCTGGCATAGATTAGGATCTAAGTACTTTAAGAAGGAGCTATGCTTTGAGTGCGTCTTTGTCAGCCTTCAGGGCCTTTCTGGTAACTTTACGTTTCAGCTACCTAAACATCCAGACTTTTATTCATACCAACATTCAGGGTTTTACTCTGACACAGGTCTATTTATGACAATGAAGTAAACCCCTACTTTTTAAGTCTCTCGCTTTTTAGCACTTTGAAGACGGCGATCTAGAGATTGCAGAATACCGGCAGGCAGGTCTGTGTCATGGAAAGTGCACACCTTCTCGAGCTGGACCGGGGCTGGTTCAGTTCAGACTTCTTCATCGTGCTTCATTGTGAGGTCAATGCCCCAGAATACTCACAGCAATTTTTTTATAGCGCTGCTGGGATTATCCAGAGCTGGAAAGGATTAAATTCTCCTGAGGTGGCTCTATGTTACTCTGGGCGGCAGCTTTGCAGCGTTTTTGCACATCTATTGGCAACTCCCTTTTGTCTGAGGAACAGGCTCTGCTTTGCTCTTCTATTGTCCCATCACGGTATATCAGGCAAGCGTTGGGTCATATGTACTCACAAAATGCAGGGCCCCAATTCAAATATAGTTCGATCTTTTACAGCCAACCTCAACTAATGCGCAGATTAGTCGGATTGATCTACCTTTATTTGTGGTCCCCCACCAAAAATAAACCTGGTGAAAAATGATCAGTGGTCTGATTATTGGTTGACCCGGTTGTTATTAAAATAATTCAGTATGCCAATCCCATGATTTAAAGCGCTGGAAAAAATGGATCATGTTAGCTGTAGCCATAACCAGTTAAAGGCATGGGGATTTTCAGAAGCTTGGTGATGATTCTCTTCCCAAAGCACCAACCCACAGTGTCTTTCAGTCCGTCACAACATCACGCCTCTGCCACAGATGTACGTGACAGTGATTTTTCACCATCCTGTCGAGTCGGGCTTCCCATTTCCATTCCACCAGACTTCTGAAACATCTCTTTGGTGCTAAGAATGAATGCGACCGTTAGTCAGTGATGGCAGACCTCAATAAAGCCCGCGTGGCGGGGGCTCTTGAAGACCACCGGGGACAACGTCAGAGGTTCCGACTTTCCTTCAAGAGGAGATGAGCGAACGACCGGTCAGGGTTGAAATATTCTGGGATTGCTTTTTCCCCAGCCTGGGGCCACATTCATTTCGGAGAGCTTCAGCTGCAGTTTTATACGGAGGTTAAATAGAATAACGTATAATGGCATTTCTTCCAGAATAATATAAACCCAGAGGTGCCAGGGGTAGCAAGCACACCAGCCTCTGAGTTCAGCAGCAGGAGCCTTTGCCAGTGCATGCTCATAATTCCTAAGTGGAGGAAGGCAGCGGAATTAATTGGCACAGTAATTAGGAGCATCGTATGCTAGACAGTTCCTTTTGCCCTAGTTTTAACATTTGTCCTCTCTTTTATTAAGAGCTTTAAAACCCGCTGACGTAACAAATAGCTGTACAACGCAGGTCATTCACTGCGACGGGGTAGCCAACTTCAATTACCGTAATTAACTGAGGAGCACCAGACAGCTTAGTCACAATGTGGTCAGAGCCAAATGGGGGAAGGGGGGAAATTCCTCCTACAGGTTTACTGCTGTGCTACCCGACGAGGGTCGAAATAAATGAACATTGCCCCTGGTGTCTTTCTGTAAGGAGTGCGATGCTCCTGTGTGTTGGGTTGGGACAGTCCGGCTGCGCCACATCTCACGAACCCCAGGTCGTAATAAAAGACTCATACGCACCTACAAGCTTAGAAAGGCAGCCAAAGCGCACACCGACGTGTTGCGTCTTGTTCAGAAAGCAGAGCTGGGCGAAATACGGTGCCGTAGTCTTGCAAAGACTTCAAATCTAGGCGTACGAGCGGGGCCAATGGAAACCGTAAAATGACACGGAGGTTATTTTATTATAACTCAGTGTTCTCCACGTTTGAACAGTCAATTCTAATTTTAGTAGCCAAATTACGAATTCCTTAGTAACTAAGTACTACTTTCAAGTAACCTATGCCGGACTAATTTAGAACCGAAACAGTATTCAGCGCAGTAAGTAAGCTATATTGTTAACACGCTAAGTAAATGCTTATTTCGTAAATGATAAGGCGTTAACAACCTAATAGGTCATGCCTGATGTATGTTCTCTTAAGCTTTTCATTGTGTCAGAAAGTTCAGCAGTTACTGTTGTGTTACTTTTAAACCCACTCATGCTTAAGGTGAAGTACATCACGGGCCTTGAGCTGCAGCAGCCCCGTGGGCGACAGCAGGACGGAAAGCTTTAAAAGAAGGCGTCAAGAAACATTGCGTTGTTTCCGTTTCACGAATGGCCATACGAAGGCGTTGATCTTCGGAGAAATAACACCGTGTCATCTAGAAGTTAGCAAACACGTGAAAAGGTATTTGTACCAGTACAAAAGAACCGGCGTTTCTACATGTGGACGAGCATCTGCACTCCATCCGCGTTATCGATCAATGACGTTTGGGTGCTGTTACATGTAATTGGCAATCCTTCATTCCGACCTTCCCCTCTGACACTGTCCTCTGACTCTGCTCTCCAGACAGGCCTCACCCGCGGCACCGCCCGATCGCACTACACGGTAATTATCACTGTGTGGCCGGGACACAGAGGCAACCAGCTCAGTCTGTCCATACATCCCGAAAATAACAAAAAAAAAACACACAAGAATGAAATGAACGAAGTTTCTAATCGGATTTTTAAAAGCTATACATGTATCTAACATCAGAATGTTTCGTGAAATCTCAAGGCATAGCCCGGACAATAGCTCAAAGTAGAGTTCGGCAGGGGGCTGACGAGAGGAGAACGACCGCGCTGGTCAGTAGAATTTGCAATAGGTCGATGGGCTTCACCTCTCCAACCAGGGTTAACTCAGTCTATAATTAAGTGTTAAATGAGAACCGTGGGGCAGGCAGGCCACTTGTCTCAAGGGTATGTAAATTCCTCGCGGTCTGCTACTCGCCTTCTTAACTGCTGGAGAGGAAATGAGATTCTCTGCTAGCGCTCCAGCCTGGCCTTCATTTTTTTTTTCCCAGCGTGGGGAGCGGAGCTCGACACGGCGGTCCTGCCAAGCTGAACGATAAGCCCCGGTGATAACAGCCTTGCCTCCGTCCACAGACGCAGCTTATAGTATTAAAAAATATTAACAGATGAAATTCCAGCCCGATTAATACGCAGAGAAAGGAAGAAAAAAAACGTTCGGGCTACGAGAATGATTACTGCAGTGTATTAGACTAGAGAATAATACCTCTCTCTCTGGGATAGCGGCGTAATGCCGGCTTTTGTGAAGATGAGCGACAGCAGTCGTCGTTTCAGATTTCCTTATCACTAGAGATATCCTGGGGTTTTACCGACAAAATCCCGGATATCCATTCTTTTACCAAAATCCTGGTGTGAGCAAGGAGAAAATCCAGCGGTAGCCCAAGCGCTTCGACCCCGTTAAAGCGTCTCTTATTAAGTCTTGATGACTTGAAGCTCGCAGTTTCAGTGGCAGCAGATAAGATCAGAGCTGGGCTTAATGACTTGACAGAAGCGAAACCAGCTGCTTTTAATACGTGTATATGAGCGACTGCAGTTTATTGTCACACACAAAACGGAAACATGAAAGATTTACCTTACGTGTATCATCGGCTCTTATTTATTTTCGATGTGTAATTCACATTGTGTATGCGTGCCCCTGTTTCTCAAGTCTGCCCTAATTCCCACAGTACACAAATTGATACACGGGTGAATACATGAATAAATAATGAAATAAATCTTAGATGAGAAAATAACGTGTCTGCGCACGCCCCGTGACAAACATCGCATTGAAAGCGCTGCCTCCACCCCACGGTGCGTACAAATGGATCTTGACTCGCACTCCTTCCAATAAAGAGAGGCGCTGCGGGGGGAAACCGAGGGAATCGAATCACTCGTGAGAGGGAGCGGGGAGGCCGCACAACTACACAGCAAGCTGAACTATAATCAACAACTGCTCAGCGGCCCACCGCCCCCCTCCTCTCTCTCTCCGCCGCTCGTTAATTTTCATTTGTCAACTTGCGGCAATCGCTCCATATATCAACAAGGCGCAGGCTGTAGCCTACCAGCTTGGTCTGCCAGAGCTGTGCTCCGCGCAGAACAGCACTGAATCGGAGAAAATTACAGGAAATGGCCTTCTGCAAAAGCACTTTTTTTTTTTTACCCCGTGCTGTAGTTTTGCATTTGTTCGGCTCGTTTCTGCCTGCTAAATTGCCGCTAGGAGAGCACTCCAAAATATCGAGGGTTAAAAATGTAGACAGATTGCCCCCCGTGCAAGATCCAGGGCGTTTCTCGCAGGTCTTTGGATTTTCATAATGAAATGGCTGCGTAGGTCACGAGCGACAGACCGCGGGCTATATTTTATTTCTGAAGCATGACGTGTAGGTTCCTGATCCTGCATGTGTGAGTTGTGTCGGCCTCGACGGAGATTCAGGCGAGCTTGGGAGACTTGAAAATGTGCCTTACGGATGCAATCAGCGCTTCGTATTTTCAGGCACATAAAACAAACTATCGCGCTATACTAATGTCTTTAAACATAGTCTGTATGTTTGTTTCATCATTGAGTAATTACATTTCTTTTCCAACGTTTCGCTGTTGTTGTTGTTGTTGTTGTTGTTTTTTTTTAAGTCGATGGTTTTTCAATGCTCTTTCAGGACTAGACTTTTCAGTGATGAGCGCATATCTCCATCTAGGGGACATAACCCGACCTGCAGCTGAAACTCTGGCTTCTCAACGCGACGTTTTGTGCTTTGAATTGTCACTTCAATCGAACAGCAGTGTGCCTGAACGTTCGGGTTTGCTCGAGCGTCACTCACACTTCTGGAACACCAATCAATCAGCTGGTCTCCACAGAGTTCTGAAGTGGAATATGTTGGCACAATAGGCAATAACCGTCTAGGCTAGTGCTTTGTCTAGGCGATGCAACAGACAAAGCAACTGACCAAGTACATTTTAAATGTGCACAGCCTTAAATATCGAGTCTCGAAATATCGTTGAATTGGACATATAATGAAACAAAAAAATACAGTTGTGTTGATGGAATTAAGTGCAAAGCCTTTGGTTCAGTACTTGTACGTCAAAGAGGGAAGTTTGTGACTTCCCCGGTGTAGACCCTTTTACGTTTAAGTGAGAGGAAGAACTTCAACTATATATGTAACATAACATACTTGATCAAAGCATAATATATTGTGCCTTAAATTTAATTTAAATATTCTGACAATGTGCTGATAGGTTCCCTTGATGTATCTCCACATTGTCTTTGTAAAATAACTATCGGTGATTAATGCTTTGAATTTTAACTAATTGGTGAGAAAAAATGTTATATTTTAATAGGGTCGTGTTACAGTAGTTATACAACTGCTACAGGAATGCCAAGAACGTAATGCTTATTCTGAAAAACAGCATCTACTGCAGACAGAGACGCATCATTCTAACAGAACCATTTTTGTTGCTTTTAGTTTTTGAAAGCTAAAAAAAGGTAGAAGAAAAAAGCTAAATGTTTTATGCATATTTTACAAGTAAACGATTCTTCAATAAAAAAGTTTAAAAATGGCACTGGCCTCTAAATAAAAAATAATCACATTTTACATTCCCTTTCACCCACAGGACGTTGTATTGATTATCGTCAAGCCTGGCTTTGTTCTGCTGTCATGGGGTACATTTCCACTGCTCAATGACACAAAGATCTATATGCCTTTGAAAGAACAAACCTGGTCAATGTGGGCAATTTCAGTCACATACTTAGACAAAGCAATAGTTGTTTTAAAATGTCCCAGGAACCAAACAACATATACAAATATTGACAGTTTTGGTCTGCAAAAATAATTGTAAGAGGGTGCCACAGTGGTTAGCGCTGATGTCTTGCAGTGCTGGCGCCCTGGGTTCAGTTCCAGACCTGGGGTTGCTGTCTGCGTGGAGTCTGCATGTTCTCCCTGGTTTCATGTTAGTTTCCTCCGGGAGCTCCAGTTGCCTCCTACAGTCCAGAGACATGCTGGTAGATAAACTGGCTCCAAGGAAAATCAGTGTGAGTGTGTTTGTGTCTGTGGGTGCTCTGTGAGGGCCTGGCATGCTGTCCAAGGTCAATCTTGCCTTGTGCCCATTGCTTGCTGGGATAGGCTCTGGCTCTGTCACCACTATGAGCCTGCATTGGAAAACGTGGTTAGAAAATGGATGGAAGGGTGATAAAAATATGGTTTTACCAGTCTGCTGAGGCTGGAAGTCTATTTTAATTGTAATGCTTTTTTGTGGTGTTCTTGCACAGACCAAGATGACTTCCTGACCGCCATTTCTTCAGGAAAAAAAAATATATAACAGCCTCTGTTTAGATGTGGCTAAAGTAGCCAACACTTTTTTTCAGGGTTTATCTTTGGAACAATAGGATTTCTAATTTTGCAACAACTGTTGATCTGAACAAATAAATAACAGCATCAAAGCTGAATCACTGCAGTGGAAACAAACTAACACTTTAGATTTAACTGGCTATTCACTGTGAATGGTTTTGTGTGCCACAGGATTCTGGACATTCAAACTGCATGTGGCCAAATACCATGCAATTTATCTACTTTATAAAATGGACAGGCATCGTCCTGGGCATTTGCTAATTGATATTCAAAAAGCAGCTGAGACAGAGCTGTTCTACCCTTAAGCAAAGTGTTTCAACCTAATTGTGGCAGGAAGATGGCCAGATGTGTAAATGGGTGTACAGTACACGTCAGTCGCCTGGGATAAAAGCGTCAGCCAAGATGGCAGACTGAGCTGAATCTTCAAAAAAAAAAGCCTTTCAAACTCTTCTTCAGAGCCAATACATCAAGTGAAACTTGGCTACCATCATCGACGCTTTTCCTTTCCCCAAAGAAACACACCGCAGACACAAGCCGGGAGGTGAACTGCCCTCTTTATTTAGTCTTGTGCGGGCAGTGCTTCCAGCTTCAGAGAAAATAAACGAACACACCTAGACCTTCTCTGGGCTGCGGGCTATCGCGTCTTCACGGTTGCTGTAATAGTAACAACCCGGGCATTGAGCTGCGGACCGGCACCCACACAAAGCAGGTTGTGTTTTGAAGTGTCGCCTGAGCTTCCTCCGCACTCCGCCTCGCAGCCCGGGGCACACAGCCCTCTCGCCCCCGGCGGAGCCCTGCTCCCCACGGGCTCCTCTCAGCACAGCAGCTGTCGGCCTCGTCGTCTCCTTTTGCGGCCGATCCGTCTTTCTCTCTCACTTGATTTTGATTTGTAAAAAAACACCGTGAACACACTTTCGCCACAGACATCTCACAACGAGCACGCACGCTCACAAAACCCATACAATCTCCACCACATTGCGAAAAGTTTTTTTTTTAAAAGCGTTAATTGCGCCTTTTCAGTCTCCGCCGGTGGATGCTGGGGCTGAATTTGCACAACAGAAGAGACCCTCCGAGCCCTGCACTTGCTGTTGTCCACTGGCTCGGAGACCGCCGGCCAGTCCTCCGCAGGAACTCAAAGGTCCAGGTTTTTCATCCTTAGTCCCTGGACACGGCCCACAGTCACTTTGTTCAAAGACACCGCTTTCACCCCCGGCGTGCCTTTCAACTCACGGCTAACCCTTCAGCCGTAGGTGCTGTACGCTCAACCCCCCTCCTCCTCCTCTCTTGTTTACCCTGGCCCGGGACCCGTCTCTCTTTCAGTCATCTCTCCCGGGCTCATATCTATTATTGAAGACACACCTGCGGCTCGCTTCATCTTCAGCTGCAGTTACTGCTCTAATAGACAACGCCTGTCAGCCTTCCAAATAAGGGAATGGGCGTGTCAAAGGTGCAGCGCCGCAGGGGAAGGCTCCGCCCCCGGGGCCCCGCCCACTGCGGAGACTCGGTTTCAAAACCTGTTTAGTCAAAACGTCGCATTTTTCATTTTAGGGTATACACAAAATGTTGCGAGACTGTATTTTTTGTATAAATCAAGATAGTCGTCTGAACACCACCTTATTCTTAACTTTAAGCCTGCCTTTATTGAAAAATGGTCTAAGTGGTAAACACTCAAGCTTTATCCATACATAGCAGGATCTAAAATGTCAAAGCTTCTGAGAAATGTCGGTTCAGTCAAGATAGTACTATTGCAGGTTATATACCAGTACAACACCGCAGTTCATTGTTGTAAGGCCTCACTTAGTGTAATTTGTATTAAAGCACGTTTCTCACTAAACCAATCTGATTATTAGTAGGAATGAATCAAAAGTCAGTGGTTATTTTACTGAAGACACAGTATACATTCTTCACAACTAACATCACAACTAACATCATTCTAGCATCCGCCTGTGATGTAGTTCACGGGAGACAAATAATTTTTAGCCATGCTCTTTGCTACCAACATACTCTTCAAAACAGCCTTACTAATCAGTCTGCTTTACTGTTTTTTTATGTTTAAGCAGAACTTTCTTAGAGGCCATCAGAAATCTAGAACTCCGAGCAATCACTTTGTTTTTAATTGGGCTTGAGTGTTATTGACCCAATGTCTATGGTAAGGAAAATCAAGACCTTGGCAATAATACATATTTATCATTTCCTCTATAACCTTTGCTGCAATCTTTCATCTCACTTGAATCACTCACTTTTAGTGTTTGTTATAATGGAGGCATTCATTATGTGAAGTAAGCTCTCTGGAATGGATCACAGAAAAAGTGCCACTTAATTTAAAAAAATCTCTGTGCTTAATGAAATGTTGAAGATATTGTATACTAATATCTTCCAGCATTCTATTGTAGAAGAGAAATGTACAAAGGCCAGCCCTAAAGAAAGTTTCAAGGCTAGCATCATCTCATACAAATTCTGTACAATCACCAGTGCTAGTTCCTGCAGATGTAACTCTGTGTTATCCCTGAATGTCCAACAGCTGAGATTATAGGTGAGTGTGCACGCTTGTGTGTAGCATCTACACAAACACAGGGAAAAGAAGAGCAAGAGGATTTCTGATTGAAGGTGGTTTGGTGTTAGCAAATAATGTCCATATTATGAAGTTACACTGTTCAAATGCAGAGTCTGGCTTGGAAAGATGACAGCTATCTCAACAGGGCCATTATAAAGATCTCATGTTAACACCGGTGTCCTGGCTATTTTTCCACTCTGCTCGTGCAATCTAGTCTCTCTAGATGTCACCCTTAGTCAATTGAAGAAGTCCAACCTTTTCTACTGTGGAGTGAGGTTACTGATACATAAGGGCTACCATGCATCACCCAGGTGCAGGTGGAAGCTGCACTTCAAAACTGTACGAAATGAAAGCAATTACACACACTGTATCAGTTCAAGTTCAAGCTTAATTATTCTCTTCTGGGGGAAATTTGTTTTAATGGCACAGTCCAGTGCAACAAGAAGGACAAACATTACCAACAGAGAAGGCTGTACAATAGTGTTACTGCAGATAAGTGAGACGATCTGGGTCTGTTACTTTTATAGAGATGTCTCCCACATAGGAATAGTGTAAATTCACAATGGAGGGGGTGAAATGCACAATGTCTAAGGCTCTTGGATGTCTTTACAACCCTGTGTTTGTAGAGGACATGTCATTTGATTTAATTTGGTCCAATTATTTTTCTACTTATTTTCACTAGTCCCCCTCCATGACAGTTAACAGTACTGATGTTGCCAAACCAACAAGTGAGACAAGTATGTTAAGACACTTTCAATATATGACTTGTAAAAAAGAAAAGGGAGAAAAAATGAATACGTTTGTCTGAAGAATACCAAGGTCAAGGCTGCCTTAACATATATAAACAAGAAATCCTAAAGACTGAAAAAGAGTCTGTACTCACCGTCTGACCAGCACGCGGTATCCTGCTTCGAAGGCCACAGAGATGGGTCGGGGTTTCAGCCCGGGCAGCCCGAATTACAGACAAACTGGCTGTAATTCTTTCTTCAAGTGAGACAAGGATTGGTACATTTCCTGTTCCTTCAGTACTCTAACAAAAAAACACATAGCTGCAATAATGCCACCGCTGAACTTTGAAATTTGCACAAAATGACAGACTATCTCGGGAAGAGTTAGATTAACTTGTCTCACTAGGCCTTGGCTAATTGATGTGACTGGGGCTCAACGTCTATACATTTTCACTTTTTTTACTCTATTCTTACCTAATGGGACCACAGCATGTGTTGTCCATCCAGGTTGAAACAGTAGTTTATTATACAGATTATTATGTATTAATTTTGTTTTAGTCAACAGTAAGTAAAAAAAAAAGTTATTTTTTATTTAAATAATCTTCAAAAGAGAGCAATAGTTGCTTAAGGAAGTACATATTCAAGTTCGTTGTCTCTCTTATTTTGTAAACTGCCCGCACCAAAATGTTTAGTAGAGTTTTGGTTAAAAAAAATTACATTCAAAATACCGGAAAACCGAAGCATAGTTACGAATAGTCATATGATGATTTTTAAGGGTCGACGGGTATTGGTTGCGAACACTGTCAGTCACACAACGGCTCGCTCATTGGTTATTTTGACGCCATGGTCGTCCACTTGCAATTGCCGATAGGTCACTAGCAAAGCTGCCTGCAGGCTCATTTGCTGAGTCGAGGAGGGGGCGGTACTTTGTCGATCCATACCCACAACCCACCGCGGCGTTCAGCGACTGCTCCAAGAGGGGAAAGATGGTGGTCTATATGCTCGCAAGGAGGATGGCAAGATTTCTAATGGCGGTGTGCCTCGTCTTTGCTGCTTTGTCAGCTGGTAAGGATTCGAGTATTTTGCGTCGCCGGCGATTGTTCAATATTTAAGCCTAAAGTCTTAAGCAAAGCTCTATAAAAAATACTGAATCGCGTTTGTTTCATTTTTCAGTGGTAGACTGTCACACCGATGTCAGATGTTCAGCTGATCAGCTGATCCGCTGCATTTCTAGATTTTCAGTTATTTACGTGAATTACAGTAACGTATTATTAAAACTGATGAGACGTGTTTCGTATGTTACCTGCTTTGCGCTTGAAACTCGATGTTATAGAAATGTCTGCAGTCGCGGTAACAGTAATGTAACATATCTGCCTGGCTAGGTTTGATGCAACGTAACTAGTGATTGCCAGTATTGATATTATTCACAAATAAAAACACCCAGTAGGTTTATTACTATCGGATCGGTAATTTTTGATAATTGCTTCTGTAATTCGCCCGTTTTCCTTTTTAAAAAGCAGTTTCTGTAGACTGGGGGAAAGCAGAAGTGACGAGGGGGTTTGATGAGTGTTGAGAAGAGCATTCATCATCACATGACAACGCCAAATGTTTAAGCCCGGCGAGTTTGAGCAATGGTTTCCTGGATATTATTAATTATAGCAATAAGACAGGCAAATACTTTTCACTATTCCTCTGCAGAGTTAGAAGTGCAGAATGTGCTAAATTCGATATTTTTTGTCAGCTTATCTATTAGTCTAGTTAGCAAGATAAAAATGCACCACAACTGTAACATATCGAATCCCCAGTACGACGTTTTTTATTTGTCGTTATGCTGGGTTTAATAGAAGGACACTAGATTTATTTTAAATAGCTGTGTAGGCAGATTACTGAAGTACAGTATATTTTGTTTGCTGCTGCTGCTGGTTCTCAGTGGTGTTTTTATTTTGAAACCTTAGAATGACAGGATTTTTGTTGACCTTAAAACACAAGGCGGTAAAGTCCTGGTCCAGTGCGCCTCCGTGCAGGTGCGTGTCTGTTCATTGCTGTCTAATCCAGGCTTGTTCAACCTGTACGCTATCAGCAGAGCCACACATTGCAAGGCTACTCTTCAGCTGTCTGGTTCTGTTGCAAATATCATGACTGCATTAAGCCAAAACAAAAAAATAAATGTTGGATATGACTCCTTTAAAATGCTCTGATGGAGCTCTTCAGTAACTTCAATGATCTTGGGAACTGACATAAAAAAACAGCCTTTGGCATTGTAGGTCACGTACTGTAGGATTGTGAGGCACGTGTGTGAGAATTTACAGGCTGATTCATCTGAGAATGATATGTCAGGGGCGCATTTGTAAACCCGTGTGTTTTAAATCTGGTTTGGCAAGAGGGAAAATTAGCACAATGTCATTAAATGAAGTGAATATAATTATTTTAAGAGAATTATGTATGACAAGCAACAACAAAATTAACAGATGGTCTTGTTATAAAGAAAGCTTTGGTACAGTTGAACAAATTGTGGTTCACACTTTAGAATAATATTTATACATGAGATGTGCTATCAATCATGAATTGACAATCTACATAAGGTAAAAGGCATCTAGATATTCACAGCACATGTGATCTGTAGCTCCTAATCCTGGTACTGGAGGAAATTTCTGTTGGCCTTCATTCCAGTTTTGCTCCAAATCTCCCTTGCTAATTGCTGATTTAACTGATATGCTTGGTTTTTTAGAATTGTATTTAATTTATGTCACAGTCCTGAGTGTTACAAATACCCAACTTAACAGGTACCGCTTCCAGCAATTTCAACAGATAAAACATTTAACAGTCCTCAACTTGCTTGCCATTTTTTAAAAATCTTTACGTAAGCAGACACCTAAATTCTTGTTGTTTTATTTTTGTCAGGTGTGTTTGGGGACAGCTTCACAGTGCTGAAAGCCCCCCAGTATATCACCTTCAAGGAGGGCCAATGGCCTCTCTCTGCGGAACGGATTCCTGACCTGGCAGCTCTGACCATGGGCTTCTCTGTGGAGGAGGTACTGCCTTTCTTTTTTTTTTCCGACATTCTTGTTTCGGTTCTGTTCCTCTGAGATTTTCCCCCTTTTTTTTCTGAAAAAAACGTCTGCAAGTCTTGTAGTGAATGTCTGCCACAAAGCCTTGTTACTGTATGTACTGTAGACGTCTGCGACCCACCCAACTTCAAGTCACATGCCTTTTAACGCATCACAGGCTACACTACCCCTATCAGGGGATCTACACCAACTGCAGAAAAGGTGCATCCCTCACAGGGTCACAAACTCACAAGTGCCCGAATGGCCACAGGGGGCGCTGTGCTCACCAAGAGCTGAGAGAGCCCTGCCCAGCTACGCCCACCCTGGCCTCAGCAGCATTCACCCAATTGTGCACCGCCACTTGCTGAATTCCAGTCACAGTCACGGTGCTGTGACTTGGGTTTGAACCCGTGACACCTGGACCACACAGCTCAACCTGCTCCTCCACTCAGGAAGCCCCTGGGATTTGTCCTTTTATGAAGAATAATAAGCTTTTCCATCCCTATTGGTATAATGAAGCATTTCCTTATTGTTCCCAATATTGGTTCCTTATCTGTTTGTGATGTTTTGTGGAAAGCTGAAAATGTAAGTAAGCAGCACCTATGACAACAGTTCTCCCTCTTACAGCCAGTGAATGTTCTTGCTAGATGCACAGGCCCCTTGCTGTGTGGAGCAGTGCCGTGACGCTGTGTGTGTGTTTTGTGCAGGACCTGTCCTGGCCGGGCCTCCAGACGGGCAGTCTCTTCCAGCGTCCTCGGGCCAACGCGCTCATTGTGGTCAGGGGAGTGGGCAGCCTGCCCCTGCCCCAGAGCCTTGCCTCTTACCCGGTGGAGAATGTAAGTGCCAGTGAAAGATTAGGCCATGATTTCTGCAAAGATGCTCACCAGCACAGATCCCGGAGTGAGAGACTGGTTTCCTAATCCTCCCTTTATAGTCAGCGCCTCTTGAATTCAGAAAACAATTCGGTACATATTAATGAGCGTTCACTTGATGTTCTGTGGTGTTTTTACAGTAGCACTCCAGTCTAATACAGAAAATGGCAGCTGTGTTAGCTGATAACTGAGGAAGACACACTGTTTAACTTTCGTAGAGACAGACATAAATCGATCAGGTATTAAGTGTTTATGTGCTGTGGAAATCTTAGGAAGTGTTTGTTTTGTGCCTCTTCAGCCTGTCCCTTTCACCTTGGACAGCGTCGCCAACACAGTCCACACCCTCTTTGCGGAAGACACTCCTGTGGTCTTACAGCTGGCGCCCAGTGAAGAGGTAGGACTTGGGGGTCCCAGCCTGTGGGACGAGTGGGGGTGGAATAACGAGAGAAATCTTTGTGCCCTTTTCTTTGTGTACTCCACAACAACATGCTGTTGACAAAATAAAACTGGAAGCTGCTATTGTTTTTATGCTCTAAGACACTGTTAACAAAACAAACCTGCAGCCCAAGAAAATAAACACTTGTTCCACACATGAAGTGAAAGACATGCAGTCGGCTTGTAATTGTTAATGTGCTGTAAAATACGTCGCTGCGTTCTGCTATGCTTGTGAAGTCTGCCACAGATCTGTGTTCTCTTACAAATCCTTTTCATGACACGCAGAGTGTGTTCTTGTAGAAATAGCAATGAGAACGCGTTAAATCACTTCTAAATAGATAAGACATTTGTCTCGGGCCTCTGAATTTCAAGATGCCTCTCAGGTCCTTTTGGTCTATGGATAGTGCACTTTAAACCAAGAGAGCATTTTCTTTCCCCGAACCCAAGGCTTTTAGGAGAATGCAGCAAGATACCAGCCCTAATGTTGAAACTGATACCCTGGATTCTTTCAGGATACGGCTGGGTGAGACCCCGGGGGACGATGAGCTACTAACGACCAAACTACCAGGGCCGAATGGCCCCCTCTTGTTTTTAACCTTTCTTATGTCCCCATCGTGAACAGCTGCTGCTGCTCTCAGTTCTGCTTCATGTGTGGTCCCTTTGCAGAGGCTGTATATGGTGGGGAAGGCCAACGCCGTGTTTGAAGACCTCCCTGTCACTCTGCAGCAGATCCGGGGGCGACTGTCACAGGACAATTCCATCCTCAACACCCTCCCCCCCAACTCACTGAGCAGGAACAATGAGGTGAGAGGAATAAGGGGGGCGCTCGAAACAGGCTGTACAGGATTTCGCTTTGGCAAAGTTCATCAGGCGTTTTCCTCTCCATGTTATCCTGACAGAAACAGTTCACGTAATCGGGCTTGCCTAGATTTCAGTCAAAAGTTTCAGTTCCTGTTCCTCTTCTGTAGGTGGATCTGCTTTTCCTCTCTGAGCTGCAAGTGCTGCATGACATCGCTGCCCTGGTAAGTCTCTGCAGCTGGCCCGTCCCACACAGGAATTTGCTGTTAAAAGCTGTACATCGTTTTTTTTTTTCAGTTCAGTGGTGTAAATGGCACATTTTCGGTCATGTGGTCAGTGTGTACAGCTGTACTACCAGGGACTTTAATATAGTTGAATATCAGTGTGTTTCAAGAGCTAATTGGCTTCTTTCCTATTGCCAGAGAAGAATCTAATCACGCACTAGTGTTTCTCCATTCTGTGCACCAACATGAAAAGCATCCAAAGTGTGACTAAACCTTGGGAGTTTGAGTATGGACTCTGTATTGAGTATTGACGTCTCTTGACCTGGATATCGCAGGGCAGCTTCCTGGTGCGCCTAATCTCGAGGGGGAGAGGGACTCGGAGTGCCCTGGCTGTGTTTGGCAGAATTTCCTTTATTTTATTCCCTGGCTCCTACAGCTCCTGAGACACAAGCACCTGGCGAAAGACCACTCCCCGGACCTGTATTCCCTGGAGCTGTCCGGGCTGGAGGAGATCAGCCGGCACTACGGCACAGATTCCCAGCAGCTGAAGGATGCCACGGAGATCCTGGCCACCATGCTGCAGAAGGTGAGCAGTCCCTGATATGTTTAGAAGTGAAGGGCTCTACGAATACTGTTACACTATGCAGACTTGAATGGCTGATGGCACACACCTACCTACTGTATGTTCACATCGATCCATTATGGAAAAGCCTCTTAAACCTGGTAAGATGTTGCGGAAAAACCAGAGTCTATCCTTGCAGCACAGGGCATAAATTGCGACCTGAACAGGAAAAACTATAAACCATCACCTGGGAATAGATCTGTTGCTTGGGTGCACACACACAGGCACACGGTTAAGAGATGCTAATTAATCTGCCAGCATGTCTGTGGAAGGTGGGAAGAAACTGTAGCAACTCCATTGGACACGGAAGAGAACATGCAGACTCCACACAGAAGGCAGTGCACTCAGGGAATTAACCCGGGACCCAAGAACCTAGCAGCTTTGCCATCATGGTGCCTCAGCTTTGTCCTGTTTTTGATTGAAGCCCTTGGACCAAATGACACTGGTGAATGCATGTTGAAAATGGGCTTTTTGACAATATTCAACAGGAAATATAACTCTTTTTTCCTTATTGTGCTTCCTGGGCTAAGCTGACTTATTCAAATAATATAAAAGCACCGTAATTTGGGATTGTGTAACTTTGTATAGTTAAGTGCACATAAATGGAAACTACTTACAGCTGTAGCATTTCCTGATACTACTCTGTCTATTCCTCTAGTTGTTTTAATCCATGAATGCTTTTCATTCTGTTGCAGTATAACATTATATTACAGATATCTTCATGGGAGTTAGGTAGTGTGTAGAATAGGACAGAAACCCCCCACCGTCAAAGTATCAAATACCAAATCTGCAGATGGCTCAAGAGGAGAGAAATCTCATTTACTGAGCAGTTTCTCAAAAATCAATCTTACATCAAGTACTGACTGTGCACGTATGCCATCACAAAGGGGGGTTTGGAAAACCAGAATACATCCCATAATAGGCATCCATCCATCCATTTTCTAATAGCTTGTTGGGGGGAGCCAGAGCCTATCCCATCAACCATCTGGCACAAAGTGGGATACACCCTGGATGGGACACACACACACACACACACACACACACACACACACATACACACACAGGGGGGGAAAACACACAAACCCCCCCTGCAGACAGCACCCCAGGAGCTGAACCCAGGGCCCCAGCGCTACCCGCAGCAGGTGTCAGTCTGTTGAAATTTAAAGGATCAGCTTAATCCTTCGTCCTCCCTCCTTTGATCACCAAGCGCTGTCCGTCTTTGCCCCTGCTGCAGTTCGCCGACGACGTATTCAGCATCTACAGCGGCAATGCGGTGGTGGAAGTGGCGACGCTGAAGAGCTTCGAGGCGCCCCTGGTGCGGAAGACCCGCTCCATCCTGGAGTCCAAGCAGATCGTGAGTGCCCCCCCTCTCCCGTCCTGCCCTGCGGCACAGCCCGGCCAAACCGCCACCACGCCCTCAGGACAGCATCTGCCCCTGTAAACTGCCCCAGCGCGTCTGTGTGTGTGTGTGGGGCGGGTTAATCAGATGGGCCTTCTTTAGTTGAGCTTGGATGAGCTGTCCTCTTCTGAGGATGCTCATTATACAGAAGATTTTTTTTTCCAAAATGTCATTATTACCAAAAAAAAAAAACAGCCTCGTTCAAGGTCAGCATTTAAAAAGCAGACTCGAGAACACAAAAAGCACAGTTCTGACGGAGCATTTGAGCAGAAGGCGTGTGAGGGATGATCTCCAGCAGCCTCCTGTATAAGCTTACATGTCAGTGCTGTTTCAGCACATGACTTGAGTCTTATTACAGCACCACTGGAATTGTGCATTTTTCAAGTTACACCTACAGATCTTTTTCAAAGAGAATCCTTCTGCAGAAGTTCTGATGTTTTTATCCATTTATTTACTGTGTTATCTGTTCATGTCAATAATCCTTAAAGTATTGCTACTTTGTTTTAATGGGAAATGCAAATGTTTTCACTACTATGGGAAGGTGGTCTTTATGATGATCCATAACAGGAATGTCGCCAATTCCTTTAAACCGAAGGGGGGGACTTCAAGTGCACAGGATGAGCTCAGTTCTCTTTTACATTTTCTTTACTCTTTTCCTGTTCTTTTATCAGAGCAATCCAGGGAGCCCATATAATCTGGCATACAAGTACAACTTTGAGTACGCAGTCATCTTCAACATCGTCCTGTGGATGATGATCGTACTTGCGCTGGCGGTCATCAGCATCTCGTACAGCCTGTGGAACATGGATCCAGGCTACGACAGCATCATCTACCGGATGACTAACCAGAAGATACGCTTGGATTGATTCCTCTTGATGTGCATTCCCCCTGAATTCATTCAATTTTTGTTTCCCTTTCCAAGCTGCCTGAACTTCTAAGGTGTGGCCTTTTTTTTTCCAGACCATCGAACTTCTCCAATAACGATTACTGAGAATTGTTTCTTAGAAATTGTTGGAGGGTATACTGTACCTGCAGCCAGTAGGTTGTGGTAGTGCTTCATTCCACTCATCTTCATTTGTTGTGTATCTGCAGTTAATTCATCTTTCTGCTAGTATTCCTCATTATGGAGCAAAAAGACTACTCTGAGGGCCAGCACCTTAAACACTAGGCTTGGTATCATTCCTCTGGCGGTGTTTCAAAAATGGTTTTTCTTAGAAGTAGTATCGTCCTGTGTTTAGTTTGGTTTTACTTGATCTTCTTGGCACTGAGAAAATAAGTATAGTGCAGTACAAAAGTTGTCTGCTGTTTTCTTTCTTCCCCAATGTTGTAAATGTTTGTGCTGGGACACATTGTACATGTATGATTTAATTTAACAGCGTTATGTCTGTATATATTGTGAAGAAGTGTAGACTGATAAGAATGCATAATATTGTCTTAATCTCTTTGTGCATTTCTTTGTTCTTTCCTGGTAACCCATTCCAGCATTGAGAGATTGTGATGGCGAAATGAAATTGTTAGGTTAGCAACTCTTTTCATTGTTGAGTATAAAGTGTGCTGTGAACAAGCAATGTGACTAAAGTTCAGATCTTCCCTAAGTAATGAGTTTTCTTTGTAACAAGTTTTATTCATTTTTATTTCTTGGAGCATCCTAGGTGTTACCACTGCCTTCATTTAAAGAAGCCGCTTCTTTGTTTTGTACAGTTAAAAGTTAAACCTGTCCAGCAGAGGTACACTCCATTTGGCACCCATAAGGCGTATTCCTGTTCTGATAAAATACTGGGATCAAATGATCCTAACATTGAGAATAAACAAGGATTGTTTTTGGCCCATCTAACTTGCCATACCCCGAAAATGTTCTGTAAGTCATCTGACTTCTTTGTGAATTTTGATAGTTCCTGAGGATTTTTCACACAGCTGGAGGCAGAATTCAATTTTTTTAATGTTATATAAAAAGATTACACTTGTGTTCCTTTGTAGACACCCATAAATGGGTGCAAACATGCAAAAAGGGAAAAAAATAAGGTTAGCTACAAATAACTCAACAAATTGTTTGCTGCCATGAAAAACATTAAACATGTCCAATAATAAATTACTGTCCATGTAGCGTTGGGGTGTGATTTTTTTTTTCATGTTGATTTCATTTTATCTTGTCATTCCTTGTCATTTGAGGAAATAATTCCAGGGAATGTAACCTTTAGAGTATTTAGATAAAATGGAATGGCAAATACTTTCACATAATCCTTACATTTATATGGCACTTTTCTGGACTCTCCACTCAAAGCGTTTTACAGGTAATGGGGACTCCCCTTCACTGTCACCAATATGTACCCCGAACTGGATCATGCGATGGCAGCCTTAGTGCGCCAGTACACTCGCCACACACCAGCTATCGGGGGGGGGGGAGGAGAGCAGAGTGATGAAGCCATTTCAAAGAAGGGGAATTTGTCATCCAGGCTGAAAGTTATGTGGTAAGAAGATAGCTGCAGTCTCCCATGTCTGTCACAGGCCTGTACATTTTCAGATGGCTATAAACAACCAGTATTAATAAGAATAATGATATTCCTAAATTATGTTCTACAAGTCCAACATTAGTTGGATTACTGGACCTGATGAGGATGGCAAAAGAGGTTCTTTAAAACAGACCTTCTAGCTGTTTAAGCAGCAGGTCTCTGCTATGCAGAACACCAGCATTGTTGAATGTTTGTGGAGTTTTCAGCGGTGGAGAAGTGAGACCTGAAGAATTATTTTAAATGGCAATTACTGGCACAATCTGGTGAATCAACAGTGATGATGAGAGTTTTGTTTATGCCCAAAAGCCCCCTGAAGTCTTGTAAACTATAAACCTGTTTGTTTATTCCTGCGTTTTACTATTACGTGTTGTTGCTGAATCTTTGGACTGTCAGGCAATGAACAAGCTGCTGGTGGAACTACGTGTCTTAGCTCCATCCACGAGGGGGCGCTCTCTAACGTCCCTGTGAGCCGTGCCTGTTGCAAACAGTGTAAAACAAGGAGAAACTAATTTGACCTGTGTTATCATGTGTGATACGTACAAAGACTTGCATTTGGTTATATTGTAATGTATGTCATTATTGAATTAATTTATGTACGATCTAAAACACAACCGCTCCTTTCCGCCGTGGCGGAAATACCCGAAACCTTCCGGAATAGACCGAAGTATTTCGGCCATCTTTGTTTTTTCAATGTGGAGCCTGTGACCACTCCAATAATGTCAGTACTCCGGGTTTGTTGCAGCTGCGTGTAAGGAGTAAATCTGGCAGCTCTCATCATTTGATAAAAACAATCAACTACATATTTATGAAATATCGAACTACATTCCCTTTGTAAATAATATGTCGTGTTGATTGATATACAGTGTTGATTGTCAAGGTTAAGAATGCTTGCCAAAGACATTTTAATCAAGATCTTTTCACAGCAGAAAAAGTTGTGGGAACTTCGCGAGCAGGCGTTATGCAGTTTGAGAAATAAATATTCAACAAGATTAACGTATTGTTCAGATGCAAGCTTCAACAGATCTATGCAAAATGTTTGCAAACGCAAACAAATGTTTAATTACGAAAATACCGACGGCTTGGGACGTCCGGCATGTTTGGAAAATGCATCTCAAATCGCTCTAAGAGGAGCTGTACGTTGGACCCGGACCCTGATAAGTAGCCGCTCCTTTTCGGTGAACACGTGCAGGTCCAAAAACAGTAACAGCGATCTGGGTGGTGAAAGTCAAGATCCTGAAGACGATCTCTTAGAAGACGGCGATATTGATCAACTGATCCAGCAACAAATTACGACAGGTGTCGGCGACCAAGACCACAGGGTGTTCATCGTTCACCCCGAAATCAAATGGGGGCAGAGGAAGCAGCGCCTGACTACAGGTCAGTAATTCGCTCCGGGAGACTGCGGAGTGTTTCGGATGTTTAACCCGTCATGTTAAAAACCAAACGAGTTATGCAGCCAGCATTATTCAACACCAATTAATAAGAATCATTTCGGCGGGGCAGCAGCGTAAGTGCCTGCTCACCTGCTCTCTGGAGATGTCAGCAGCTTGGTCTGACTGGTGTGTAGCTCTTCTCCCTGCTGAAGAGTCTGGGAAACAAGCAAGAGAGGGCCAGCTCAGAGCTGAGAAGGGAGAAGTACGAGGAAAACTAACTTAATCCTGTAAGTGGACCAGTAAGTGGCGTTTTTCCAGCGTGGTCCATCATTTCCCAAACCAGTGCCACAGTTTGGTGACAAGAGACCCTGGGGTGGAGGTGCTGTTTCGTCCGATGGGACATGAAACCGAAGACCTGAATATGTGGTGATGAAAGAAATACCTTTCAAAAGAGTAAACTTGTTCACTCTAGTTTTTTGTCTCAATTCTGCTGTGGGACTGAACAAGCTGGCCTTTCATATCATTTTCCGTCAATTCACGTGGTTGAATCCGTTTTCTTACTTCTCTACTTGCTGTGCTGAGTGGGTGGGATGGTGAGACAAAATGGCTGCCAGACATCGCCCAGCTAGGCGCAGTATGTCAGTGGTGAAATAGGTCTGCTTCTGTATATAAAAGAGCTTTGAGATTCTTTAGGGTGAGATAATTCTAAAAAACAATTCTTTACACTCAGGGAATTATTATTTTCTCGATCGTGGCTAGAGGCAGCACGTTGCCGCAGTGGTTATCATGGTTAGGACCTGGGTTCATCTCCGAACCTGGGGTGCTGTCTGTGTGGAGTTTGTATGTTCTCCCCTTGTTATTATTCCTTACGGATGACACTCCAGTCGGCGCTTTCCAGGTAATGGTAAGGGGGGTTCCCCTCCACCTGGATGATGCGATGGCAGCCATAGGGCTCCAGTACGCTCACCATACACCAGCTGTCAGTGGGGAGGAGAGCAGAGTGATGAAGCCAGTTCATAGATGGGGATTATTAGGAGGCCATGATGGGTATAGACCTGGGGGAAATTTGGCCAGGACACAAGGGTAACACCCCTACTCTTATTGAGAAAAACCCTGGGATTATTAATGACTACAGAGAGTCAGGACCTCGGTTTTTACGTCTCATCCGAAGGGCTGTTTCCTCCCACAGTCCAAAGATATACTGGTAGGTTAACTGGCGTCTGGGCCTGGCGTGTGAGTCCCATCCTGGGTGGATCCAGCCTTGTGCCTGTTGCTTGCCAGGATAGGCTCTGCCCCCCTCCCCGACCCTGAACTGGATAAAGCAGGTTAGAAAGTGGATGGGTGGGTAGATCTTGGCTAGAGACCCTCAACTCTGCTCCAGTTGATCTCAGAAGTTAGGTGTTGCAGGTGATGATGGTACAGTAGATGTCGAAGGACATCCTTTAATGGGATCTTTTCATTTTGTATTGTAATGTTCTGTGGTATAACTGCATTTACAACCAGCATGTGAGAACACAAGATTTTTGCACTGTGGATAATTGAAGATAGAGGATTTTTTCAATAAAACTATTTCTTATGTAAATGGAAGCTGAAGCTTTCATACCCTTCACAAAAAGAATGAATAGCTTTAAATTATACCTGTTTTGAAGTATCAATGAAGAGACCACAATCGCATTCCAAATGATGGATCAAAGGGTGGGGTGGGGTCTTATTTTAAAATGAAGGAGTTAGTGTTGCTGCCTTGCAGGGCTGGGGCGCTGGCTTCAGGTCTGGAACAGGGGGGCTCTCTGTGTGGAGTTTGCACGTTTCCCCATGTCCGTGTGGGTTTCCTCGTCCGAGACCGGGCAGCGGACCCATTGATGTGTATGCGGTTCGATTCACAGCGGCTCTTCAGATGGAGGAGGCTGTGGGCCTCGTCTCCACGCTGCAGAACTGGACGGTGGTCGATAAGATCATCGTCTCCACGAAGACGCCTGAAAAGAGGAGGATCTTTGGCAAGGGGAACTTCCAGGCGCTCACAGGTCTCCACGCCCTCCTGTCTCTTCACGGGCTTCACGCTGGGACTGTTTACCTACATGCAGGTGGCCATGGTTGACCTGGTAAAGACATGGTCAGAGGCTGCATTTTTATCAGTGTAGCTGATTATGGTTAAGTAGATACCAAACCTGCTCCCATGCGTTTGTTTCGTAGGAGGAGTTGGTAAATGCCACATGAAGTAAAAACTCTGAGCATGGCTCCATTACATAGTTGATTAAACAAATGAAAGTGTAATGTGGACTAGAACTGCAACTTGAATGCAGTGGTTTCCTGGCACATACTGACATGCTAGATTCACTCTATTTCTCATTATTTCTAATGAGCAATATCACAGTAGGAAACATACATAATGCAGTTTTACAGGTACTTAACATCACAGTCGAGCCTACACGGCTTCCTTAGTGCCATACAGTGTAGTTAAAAGAAGATCAGCTGTGGCTCATAAAAAAAAAATCTGTCGGCACATTGTGCAGGATTATGTGTGGGTTAGGCAGTCAGCACTGAGTCTTCGAATGCCCTGCCTTGAAAATAGTGTTCAAAGCCAGATCAGAGTTGTCTGTGCGCAAAACCTTTAATGTTCTTAAAGGGGGTAGCAGGCCGTTTTTAAATAAATCACTCGAGGCTCTCGTTTCAGAGAGGATCAGGGGATTACCACAGATCACCGCTGTGTTTGTGAATGTGGAGCGTCTGGCTCCAGTCACTGAGGTGAGTCTAAATCAGAGCTGGTCAGCCTTGGCGCCTGTAGTCTGTGCCGTCGGTAGTGATCGGCTGCACCTCACTGGGGGTTTCTGTAACGGCACGAAATCATGACATCCAGGTGCCAGGCTTGGCACTTTCTGTCCCCCAGGCTGAATTATTACTAAGTCACACCGCCCGCAAAATTCCCCCATCCCTCAATTTACTAAAGTAATTTGTTCGATCCGAAGCTGTTCGTGAGATGAAGATTCATTCAACGAAATTCCCGCTACTTTATGTTAAGGCATCCGATTCGTTCCGGAGGTTTGGAAAATCGCTCGGCATTACTAGAACACTGTTGCTTGTTTGTGATAATGACCCTGTCTGCCCTAGTAAAGTAAGGGAAACGAACAGACAAGATCAAAGGTGTAAAACCTCTAAGAGCGCAGGCGCGCCGCGGACCTGTGTTGTGGAAGGCTACGCTACAAAGGTGGCGTCTGTCGTCCGGCTACGCGGGACACAGCTTCGATGTCACGACAAAGCTCCGTGGCTTTACGAAAAACGGGTGTGAAAACGCGGACGCGCTCTCGGTTACAGCGCGAATGAGTAAACCGGGCACTGGTGGATCTGAGGGGTGGGCGTGCGTGGAGTCTGCCGGCGGTTTCAGCGCGGCTTTGTGTTTGGCAGAGGGAGCTGCAGGAGGCCTGGGGATTGAAGGTCTTCGACAGGTACACGGTGGTCCTCCACATCTTCCGCTGCAACGCTCGCACCAAGGAGGCCAAGCTGCAGATCTCTCTGGCCGAGATCCCCCTGCTCAGGTATCGCCGCCCACCGAGCCGCGGTTTCCCGCCCCGCGGCCTGCTTCACAGGCTGCCCTCCGGCCGGGGGGCGAGTTGTCACTGAGCAGCTGCTCCCTCCGAGAGCGGGCCCCAGGCAGGGCTGGGGTGGGCTCCTCACAGCTTCGGAAGCCTGTCCGGGCCAGTGGAGGACCTCACCTCCAGGAGGGCCCGACGCCTGTCCCAGCCTCCTCTTGGGACAGCCCCAGTTCAGTTCGGTTAAAGAGCTCGGAGATGCGGAAGAGCAGTTTTGGAAATGAAAGTTGAATGCACGCGTTGTGGTGTGTAAGCTGACTTTGCAACCTCAAGGAATTTGGGTTTTAGCCAGGGGTGTCCAGTCATGGTCCTGTAGGGCTGCTGTGTCTGCAGGTTTTCTAGGGCTCTTGAATGAAGAGCTGTTGTTCAGCTGGTCCTGTTAAGGTACGTTCCACCCTGTCTAGCTCGTTACAGATATGTTGGAATGAAAGCTACAGACACACCAACCTTCAGGGAGCGAGTCTGGACACCCCTTTAAATGAATGCTTGTTGGGTTGTAAAAGTGGCCTTACACGTCAGCTAGTGTTCAGTTAGCGTGACTGCAGTATTGCACTCAAAGAGGAAGGCTTTTCAATTAAGTCACCTGTTTTATGCGGTAACATGCGTTCCCCGACAGAGAAGTGATGTGCCCTATTTCTGTACTGACAGGTCACAGCTGAAGAATGATCTGGCAAACTTAGATCAGCAAGGTGGAGGTTCCAGGTATATTATGGGCTCAGGTAAGAAACTGTAGAAATGGACAAACTTCACATCTTCATGTGTCTCCAGACACAACTGCAGAGTCTTTTAAAGCTTTAATGGATTTATGACAAAGTATTTTGTGGATTGCAAAAGGGAAAACCCTGTTGCCACGTTTAGGCCTGCAGGGATTTCTCAGAGCTCCTTGACTTGAGTTTATCCACGCAGGTGAGACGTTCATGGAGGTGCAGCAGCGGCTGTTGAAGGAGAGAGAACTGAAGCTCCGGGCGGCCTTGGAGAAGCTGAAGAGGAAGCGTTGCCTGCTTCGCTCCCAGCGCCAAGACAGGGACTTCCCCATCATCTCTGTTGTGGGATATACCAACTGCGGTGAGCAGGGGGGTGACTGTCACTGCCGTCATGGGGTATACCAACTGC